CTAGTATATGAGTGATTTAGAATTAAATATTACTAAAGCGAAATTCTCTTATTCTCAGCTTCTGGGGAAAAAAAAAAAGTCTGATTTCTAATTCTGGCTGTTCCTGACTTCCTGATTGTTGAAATGCATCTTTTCAACTTCAGTTATATGATTTCTCATGTAAGGTGTGTTAGCTTGGTAAATTAAGGCCTTTTCCATTGGATTTGGGCAGGTTTGGATGCTGTGCTCACTGGTTCTATCACTGTCACTGCCACTGTCAAGTAAAGAGAGGTCACTGTCAAGTAAAGAGAGCCCAGGCAACATGCAAGCCATGCATTTGGGCCCTCAAGTGGTGAGGAGTACTTATTTCCTCTCTCTGCTTATGATTTCATGGTCCAAATCATATTTTTTATAATTGTTCTTGCAACAGAAGAGTATTTTACCCCTGTGCCATCTCAGGGAGAGACCTCAGTTTATAATAATTTACAGTAGTAGCTAGTGTAGTAGCCTCAGCCTCCTCTCACTGTTGGTCCGTCTATATCACCACACCTCTTCCCCCTTAACACACACTATTGAATGTCCTGGCTCTTACCATCTCATAAGGAGACATATGGAAGTGGGGTAACACTTGTGACCCCTTATTAAGATAGGGACCAATAAGTTTTGGGATGTAGATGGTATCACTCCTGCTGGGTAGCCAATGGATGATGCGCTGGCCACTACAAGAGGGAAATTCTTATCGATCATAAGCGGGAAGAAACACTTGTAAATCTTAGCTATAGATCACTGTATTGTGGCCCCTTGATTAGAGAGGAGTGGGCAGGGATATAGCTGGACATAAGACGCAGGTAGAATCAAGGACGCAAGTATCTCCAGGGCTCTCTTGCCTTTTCTGTTTACTTCACTCTGCATGCAGACTAGCTTCTTCCACGTGGTGAGAGATGTGGCTGGTTTTGGTATCAACCTTACATCTCAGAAATGCCAACACTGGGGCCAACTCTTCATTAGCGTCTGTTTGAAAAATCCTCATGAAAAGCTATGATTGGTCCACTTCAAGCCTGGACCAATTAACTGTGGCCTGGGGATGGAGTTAGGTAGGAAAATGGTTCATTCTGAGGTGGTGCTGTCCCTGAGTGGGGCAGAACATTCATGTGATGAGGGGAAAATGGACACTGCAGATAGTTCCATGGGTGTTCACTACACAAGTAGAGAAGACTGGATATAGTTACAGATGTCATATGCTAACTGACTCAGTTAAAATTTTGAATTTGGAAAATTTGACTCTCTGATCATTAGCTCCAATATACAGTCATACAGCCTGAACTCTACAAAATCCATACGGTTAGGGTTTGGCCCGTACCATTCCATCTACTGTTTATGGCTTCTTCCCACCCTAATATTTGGGTTCCCTCTTCCTCTGGTTAGTCTGAGTCTAGTGGATCCAACATGGTCCTGGGGCCCTGAACATCTGTGTCAGCTCTTCTATGAGGTCTGAACCCTGGCCTTGTGGGCAGTGTGTGGCTGCTTCCAGCCTCCTGTCCACTCAGTCTCTCTGTATCTCTCTTGCTCTTGATTTACTTTCTTTACCCTCAGATATCTCACTCTTCATACCAAGTATCTGAAATTATTTGAAACTTGTTTTCTTCACTCACTACTTTTGTGACCTGCTTCAACCTATTTTCTCTTCTTGGGCTTCCTAGAATGGCACATATTGTTGGAAAAAAATGCACCAGTATACAGAGTTATGAAACCGAAAAATCTGTGGTATCAAAACTCTGAGAGCCTTTCCATGATTTGCAATCAAGCTGCTTCTCACTTGGCTCTCCTTCATACTGCTCACAGCAACTGAGCAACACATTTATCCTACATGCTAAGCTGCTATATGTTACACAGCACTTGTTACCCAGCACAGAGCAGGGAAACAATACAACACTTATTAAATCCATGAATGAGTGAATTATTAACTAAATAAAAGTCTTCAGGCTGGGTGCGGTGGCTCACACCTGTAATCCTAGCACTTTGGGAGGCTGAGGCAGATGGATCACCTGAGGTCAGGAATTCGAGACCAGCCTGGCCAACATGATGAAACCCTGACTCTACTAAAAATACAAAAAGTTAGCTGGGCATGGTGACGGGCACCTGTAAACCCAGCTACTCGGGAGGCTGAAGCAGGAGAATCACTTGAACCCAGGAGGTGGAGGTTGCAGTGAGCCTAGATCATGCCATTGCACTCCAGTCTGGGCAACAAGAGTGAAACTCCATCTCAAAAGTAAAACAAAACAAAACAAAACAAAACAAAACAAAATAAAATAAAATAAATAAAGTAAAATAAAATAAAATAGAATAGCCCTCATTCACCAAGCCAACTCACTGTACTTGAAAAATGATGTCACTGAAGTCCAAAAAGATGAATTTCCACAGTGAGAAAGAGCCAGCATTAAAAATCTGACTAGGCTTTTTCCCCCCCAAAAGCTTAGAATGAGGTAAACTTTAATATTACGTATATTGAAATTTACACCTCAGAAATGGGTGTAAATGGGTGTATATTGAAATAAATATTTCAATATAAATGTAGCTTTTGCATTCTGTTGGGCACCTAGATCTCTATGGTAAATATTCTTTTCTGTATGTATTTTTTAAATGCACCAAAAATAAGGAGTCTACCTAACTTGTAAATATGTTCATGAAGAATACATAATGGCATCCTATCCTAACATTTTGGTCAGTAGGGTCTCAACTCCAATATTAGGTTGATTTCACTGAAAACGGAAGAATAATCATCAAGGTTAGTAACATCTATTTCACAAGTAAGATGGGATAAAATCCCAATATAATTTGATGAAATTAAAATGAAAATGAGGCATGGAACATGTTATTAACACCATTAATAAATACATGATATAGGGGATATCTAAATACAATTATTTATCAGAAATTTTGTCAACTATAAACTATGCAATAGTTCAGCAAGTTTAAGATGATTACAATCGCTTGGATTAAAATGACTATTGAGCAGGGCACGGTGGCTTACACCTGTAATCCCAGCATTTTGGGAGGCTGAGGCGGGCAGACCACCTGAAGTCAGGAGTTTGAGACCAGCCTGACCAACCTAGTGAAATCCCATCTCTACTAAAAATACAAAAATTTGCCAGGCGTGGTGGTACGTATCTGTAATCCCAATTGCTTGGGAGGCTGAGGCAGGAGAATTGCTTGAACCTGGGAGCTGGAGGTTGCAGTGGGCTGAGATCATGCTACTGCACTCCAGCCTGGGCAACAGAGCGAGACTCTCTCAAAAGACAAAACAAAACAAAACAAAAAACAAACAACAAAAACAAACACACAAAAAAATCCTCAACTATTGAAAAAGAAAGAAAGAAAGAAAAAAAAGAACAGTTATAAAGCTGACCTGGAGGGATTTCCTATGGGATGTTTATGCTATAATTTAGGATAAGGTAAAATTTATTTTTTTGAGGTGATCGTTTGTGAAAATAGTAAAGGACCTTTGGGATGAGTGGCTGGCATTACATTAATGAAATTAAAAATAATATAAATTATATAAGGCATATGGAACCATATTTATTCACAAAAACTTTATATTTAGGAATGCGAGAGTAATATAGTCTGCTTTGTGAAAATTCTGCCCAGTGGCCAAGGCCTCTCTCTGAGGCGACACCCCCTTGCCCACAGCGACCATCAATTATTTTATGCATAACTCCAACCATTTGGCCACAGTTTATTGGGCCATTCAGTCTGCCCTGTATGAACTTCAGGAGCATTGACATCCTTTAAATAGAAGAATGAAGCAACTGTCCAATGGGAGCAGAAATGTTAAAGTACACTTTTCAGGCACAATTGCATCCTGGCCCTTGCATATGGCAACTGGATCCTTATAGTAAATCTCTCTTTTCTGTTAAATTTAAGCTGGGTGTGGTGGCTCATGCCTGTAATTCCAGCACTTTAGGAGGCCAAGGTGGGAGGAACACTTGAGGCCATTAGTTTTGAGACCAGCTTGGGGAGTATAGTGAGACTTGCATCTCTATAAAAAAAAAATCAAAAATATTAGCCAAAAGTGGTGGAGCAGGCCTGTAGTCCCAGCTATTCAGGAGGCTGAGGTGGGAGGATTGCCTGAATCTAGCAGTGGGAGGTCGCAGTGAGCCGAGATCACACCACTGCACTCCAGCCTGGGGGACAGAGTGAGACCCTGTCTCAAAAAAAAAAAAAAATTTAGAAAGTACCCCATGCTGACAACAGGTAGTTAGAATATTAAAAAATGTTCATATGTGTATTTTAGTTGCACCACTTCTAGGAGTATGGGAAATTTCTCAGATTCACATACTTGAATGCTCATCTCAGTGTAATTTATAACACTGAAAAATCAGAAAAAAGCTCAATTTTCCAATTTGGTGACTAGTTAACTGTATCAGGGTATGTCCATATTTTGTAGTATTACACAAATATTAAAATGTTTTAGAGAAATATTTAATTGGGTAAGAAACTACTATGCCATGACATTAAGGGAAAAATCTGTATACAAAGTACTATACACATCATGACTTCAGTATCAGGATTGACACATGTATGTGTGTATAATGAATGAAAAAAGTAGAAAAAAAAGTTCCCAAATGTTAAAATAATGATTTTTGACTGGGGAAGCTAAACATGACTTTTATTTTTATGTTATTCTATATCTTCTAAATTTCCTGCAATGATAATGTATACAACTAGAAAAATTCTGTTATTAAATTACTAGTAAAATAATGTATTGTTCTAGCATTATAGCAAGAGTTAATTTTTTTCTTTGTTATGTGAAAAGCTGAAAAATTCAAAATGATGTGTTTATTCTATGTCATGCAGTAGAACAAAATGTTTTTATCTTTTCAATGGCAGGATAAAAAATCTATAACCAATAGTATTAAACTATCAGTTGTATCAAAATTTAAACAAAAATATATTCATATCATTCAAGGTAGTCTTATGTTAAAATAAATTAGTATCTATTTTAAGTAATGAAGATAAATACATTGCAATAAAATTATTTTATTTTAAAGTAAATATAACTTTGCCAAATTTTAATCAATTAACAGCAGTTCAGATATAGATATACATATACATATATGTGTAGAATATATACTTTTTTAAAACAAGAAGGCATACTTTATGATATATAATCTTTTTACCACAAACTATATACACTTCTCAGATATTAAATCAAACTAATATACTAGGAAGACTCTACTACTTGGGACCCGCGCAGCACCTTTACAAGTAGTTTAACTTTTATATGTGACTTTAGTAACACCATTATACAAATAAGCCATCTTACGGGCATTGTTTTGGCAGTGTAAACCTATAAGACACAGGTTGAATTTCACAAAAAGATCTGAAACTTGACAACTACTGCTTAGCAAATCTTTGTACAAAATGTGCAGTAATACGTGCAAGTGTGGCACAGTTGCTAATAGCTAAAAACAGGCACAAAAGCTTTACTGCCCTTTGGAAATAGGACAGAACAATCTTGAACTCTCATTTCCTGTTGCTCCTCTAACAATTTAATATGTTCTAAATACCTTTATGTGGAAATAAAAAAATAACAGGACAAAAGCAGACTAGGGAGATTGCATTTCTGTCAGTAAAATTTCTCAAATCAACACATTCAATGAGTTTCTGACATTGTTCTTCGAGCAGCCGTCATCTGTCTAATGCAAAATGTGGCTTTGCTGTGTCTTGTTGCAAAGGGAAAGAAAAGCTTTTGTTCAGAGCTTTAGAAAAGTCAGTTCAGTCCACATAATCCATTTTCTCCTTCAATTCTGAAAAGCAGCTAATGCTCATTTGGTAGTGAAGTGCTGCCGAGGAATGTTCTCTTGCTCCTTCTATCACAAAATTACTTTATGGACAGGTTTCGAACATGTCACTCAACCTCAAAACATGGTGCAGGCTTCTTGGTGGATGAGCTTGCATTATCTGAGGGGCGGTAGGAGAGCGTGCTCATTTTTGTTGAAAGGTTTGAGTGGGATTTGGCTTTTGGGGGAATGTATTTTAGAAGCTGGAGAAAATATTTTTTAAATTTTTTCCCCAGAAAGCCATAAAAAAGAGGATTCAGGCAATTGTTAAAATAAGCTATACAAATGGTGATGGGCATGGCTGTGTCCACAATATCTGAAATTCTACAGTCACGTATGATGCCTAGTTGAATCAATACATCCAGAAAAGTGAATATTTGGTGGGGAATCCAGGAAAAGAAAAAGAAAAGCACAATTGCCATAATTATCTTAAAAATATCATCATTTCTTGGTTTGTTCTTCTGAATTTCATAAGCCTTCTTTAGGGCCTTCCAAATAAGAGTATAACTTGTAAGAATGATCAGAAAAGGAAACAGGAAACCCAGTATATTTTTGGTCAGGCCCAGTCCTATCGGAAGGGTTGAATTTTGGGACTCATAATGGAAAGCACAAACTGTAATATTGGTGTTCTCAATGAAAAATACATTTCGATGGATTATAGCTGGCAAACTGGCCAAGCCTGCCAGCAGCCAAATGACGATGCAGGTGACTTTGGCTACAAGCATTGTGCGTCGAAGGCGGGACTTCATTGGGTGAACAATAGCCAGGTATCGATCAATGCTGAGACACGTGAGTAGGAACACACTAGCATACAGGTTGAAACTGACGCTGGCTGAAGCAATCTTACATAGGTAATTGCCAAAGGGCCAGCGGTATTCCATAGCTGTGTAGACAGCCCATAGTGGCAAAGTCAGTAAAAAGCATAAGTCAGCCAGTGCTAAATTCAAAAGAAAAACACTGGCCACAGTCTTCAGCTTCATGTAAAAGTAAATGACTATCACCACCAAGCTGTTTCCAAATATTCCCACCACAAAGATGATACTGTATAAAGTAGGAATCATGACAAATATGTAATTATGCCTTCCAGCTTTGGGACAATCGTCTTGGATTCTTTTAATACCATCTTCAGTAGAAGAGTTGAGAATCATTTTGATCTCCTGGGTCGAATTTGTCACAAACACTATATCAAATGCACCTGGGGAAAATAAAAATAAAAAGGTAAAAATAATTCTTGTTGTAAACAAACAAATGAACATTCATTTCTCAGTCATAAACGTAGTAACTCAACTTCTGTCTTAGGAAAAAATACTAGATCATATTTCCTAAGGAAACTCTGTGAACTGATAAAGCCTAAGAATGCACATTTAAATTTTAGAACATAATTGCTTTTGTAGAAAATGGTAAATATCATCCAGAGAAGTGAAATTGGGGTTCTATGTGAATAAACCTATCCTTTTCCTTTTTTCTATAAGTAAATCTTAGTTTCCAAATTGATTAAAAACATAACCTACATCTTAGAAAACACTACTGAATTAAATTAGTTTTTCAGAAAGACTTGAAAGTTTTTCCTGAGGTAAGCAGGACCAATTCTTTTATCATTAACCTCAGAAGTGTGACACATTCATATCGTATTCTTTAAATCATTTCTTTCCTCTCACAATCTTTACTTAGGTATAAAGATTATAAGTATTCTCCCTTAAGTGGTCAGAATAGTTGCCTTTAGGTGACTGACAAATTGGTCACTGTGGCAATTGATTTAAGAGGGGTAGGAGGTAGGGCTCAACTTTGAGGAACAGGATTTTTTCCATTGTTTTCCAGGCCTCTGCAGTCAGTAACTATGTATTCTTTAACTTCCAACTCAGTCTAGCAAAAGTGCATGAATCTTCTAACCTTCATATCTGCCAGCCATTTCTGAAGTTAACCCTGTGGTTAACCATTTGTGTAACAAAGATGTCAAATGAATAGGTTTGGCCAGGATTATCAAGAAAGCATGTCTTTACTGAGGGCTTGAGAAAGCAGCAGTATTTCTGGAATTCTGGGAAGAATCAGATGCTCAGGAATGAACTGCACGAAGCCATGCAAATATTTGCTCTGATTTTCTACATAATCAACAGTCAAGCTATTCATTTATGTGATTTAGAAAATCAACACATTCTGCCCTGGATAAGAGTCCATCAGGAAGTCCCAGGAAGGAGGCTGAAAGTTCAGTGAGAGTGACGTCACCAAATGTAGTACAGCCACACTCTGAGGTGAAGGTTAGCATTGGGCACGGGCCAGGACAGCTAGGTGAGCAGTGGTGCTGGGCACACAGATCCTATTGCTCTACCAGGAGCAGGTCCCCAGACGAACATGGCTGAGCATTCTCTTGTAACAGCATGCCCTGGGGAAAAAGAGCAGCAGAAATAGGACACCACTGCCATGCCAAGCATGGTTTGCTTGGCATTCAGGAGAGCTGAACACATGTTCTTAAAGTAGTGTTCACTTTGGTGCAAAGGGATGCTGTGCAGGGGATACAACTCCAGTAGTCAGCTTTTAAGAGAGAACACATGTGAGGGAGTTCTTAAGTGGCCTCTTCGCCTTCGCTGAGTAAGTGAAGTTGTTCTCCCTATGTAAGTTTTTGGTTGCATGTCCTCATTATTGTTCCTTTTTGGTATCCAGCTTATATAATGTACATCTTTTTCTTCTTTGACTCATGGGGACATTGGTACCCACAAACAGGTGCTATCTACCCTAAATGTCACATCTTTGGTAAAGCCTTCCCAACTTTTCTGAGCCCTTTGACACTTTGGATGTAGGTTTGACACTGTCCTTTTTTTTTTCTTTTTGGAGACAGAGTCTCACTCTACTGCCCAGGCTGGAGTGCAGAGGTGTGATCCTGGCTCACTGTGACCTCTGCTTCCCAGGTTCAAGTGATTCTCGTGCCTCAGCTTCCCTAGTAGCTGGGACTACCAGTGCATCCCACTATGCCCAGCTAATTTTTGTATTTTTAGTAGAGACAGGGTTTTGCCATGTTGGCCAGGCTGCTTTTGAACTCCTGACCTCAGGTGATCCACCCGCCTCGGCCTCCCAAAATGTTGGAATTACAGGCATGATCCACCGCACCCGTCCTTGACACTTTATTGTAATCATCTGTTGACATATCTGTCTTCTCCACTGGTCTGTCAGTTGCTTGTGGGGAGAGCCTGTTTAAAATTTACTAGATTTACTAGTGTTTACTTGTTTCCTTGTTTACTGGTGTAGGCCCTGATACATTCCAGGAGGCAGATGACAAATGTCTCATGAATGAGTGACTGAATGGACAAATGAATGGGTGAGCAGCATAGAACTTACAGCTATGAATGCAGCGTATTGAGACTAATTTCTGTGAAATCACGTGTTGCTCCTTGAAGAGTTTCACAGAGAATACTCAGTGTCAACCTGGGCCTCACCTTGGAAAAAAAACAGAAACAAAAACAAAACAAAATAAACAGGTAGAAAATTCCTTGGTGCTTTTAGAAACTTGTGGTTTAGAAAACAGAAGATGAAAAGAAGAAATAACAGAAACTAGGGCTAGGCTTTTAGGGAGGTATGACTAGTTCTTCCTCACCCAGAGGATTTCCCTATAGCTTGTAGATTTTCTAGTTCATCTTATTATTGTTTCAGAACTGATGCCAACTTAGAAGTATACATTCATTTATATAAACACATATTCTTTATTAAAAATTAATTAGTCATTAAAGGGTTATGGCTAGCAGTCATTTGTGCCTTAATGTGGATTAATTTACCTATTTGCTATCCTTTTAACCATCTAGTAGAGATCAGCTGGATTTTGCTTAGAAAAAGAATTAGTAATGTAAAGGTTAAGGAACCTCGAAGGTGGAAAAGGGCCTGGGTGAACTCCATAACTGAAAATGAGGGCAGAGGTAAATATTTGGTTCAGCTTGGGAATAAGGGCAGTAAAAAATAGAAGGGAGTACATTTTATGCTGTAGAAGCCCTTGGGTGCCCTGTGCTGTGAGAACAGGGAGGAAATTTTCTTCTCTTTCTTCTCTCTACTCTTGACTCTACTTTGACAGCACACAACTCATGTGGGTTCCATTAATCCTACGTTTGGAGTGAGTAGAATTTTATTAACTAGTCTCAAACTATAACTAGTATTCATAATACAATTTCTGTGGGAAAAAGTCTGCCTTTGTGACGATCAATTTATAAGCATAGTTCTGTACTCCAACTCCTTCACAAGCTATCAACCTTTTTTTTTCAGTTACCATTGATTCATATTGACTGGTATTTAATATATAAAAGGTTGCTTTGAACAGCTAGGGGATCATCCCTGGAAACTTTGGTGAGTTATTATTACCTCAATGAGAATTCACTTGAAAGAATCTGGACATAGCATGGAATATACCAATTAGAAGAACATTTTACATAAATGTTTGTATCATTACCAGGACTCCCCACACAATAAGGAAACAAATTTTTTCATACTCAAGGGTAGAGGAAAAAGGGAGAAGAATTTTAGGCGATAGAAACATTAGAAGGAAGCACAAGGAAGGAGCAAGGCAAATAGCACATTCAGTGGGTATTCATCAACTCATCATAGATTCACTGAACCCCTACTATGTGTGGGTGTCCAGGATGCAAGGGATATAAAGTCACAGTTCTCCTCTAGGAGTCTAGCCGGGGGGACAGGAGCCTTAAAGGCAGTATTATCTCTAGTGTGTTGAATGTTATATCAGAGGCATGTGGAATACTCTGTGTTTATCACTGACCCAGATTGGTGGGGAGAGTGGGGTTTGGGGGAAGAATGGCGAGAGGGCAGTGGGGGTGGGGAGAGGGATCAGGAGATGGCACCTGGAAACCAGCCAAGGTGGAGTAGCGATGGTGTCATTGCTGGAACTTTCCCCTCCTTACTAATGCCTGCAGCATCATCTATGGGAAACAGCTCTCATAAATTAATAGATATTGCACAACCCTCTTGGGGGTGTGGGATCTGGATGTGCACTGGGTATTTCTAGATGGGAGGGTGACACAGGTCATTTCCCAGTCTGCATTTCTGCTACTGATAAGCTTCCCTCGAGAAATTTGTTTCTAAGGAAAGAAATAAAGATGGGACTTTTGTGATTGGCAGTTACTTTAGATTGATGATAAATGACTGGGAAACAGTGGGGCTCTTTTTTCTTTGAAGCTGAACAGATGCTGGTTTGGTGGGAAGTCGAAGGAGAGAGAGATGTGATTGACTAGAAAAACCAAATTTGTGCGATCTAGAAAGCAGCTATGTTTCAGTCACATCCTGCTTCTTTTCCCAGAAGAGTTATAGGCAGGTAGAACACTGATTAAAAACAAAGGAGGATCCACCTCTTCCTATTTTTCCTATGTTTGGTCTTACTATGCCTTTTATCCAAGCTCTGTGGCTTGCATGGATTCCATAGCACCATTTCCCCTTAGGGAAAGGAAGATGAATTTGGGGTTGGAAGACTTGAAATGGAATCTTCCTTTGCCACGTACACATCTGTGTGGCTCTGGGTAAGTCATCCAATTTCTCTGAAAATGACCCTCAGTTTTTTTTTTTCATCTGTAGGAAACAAGAACAGTGATATTTATTGCACATGATCTTTGTAGGAATAAAGTGACATAATGTGAAAGCACTTGGTATATCTTTCAAATAGTACTTAATGAATATGTTTTACTCGAATCTTTACTATTATTTTTTGAATGCAAGGCAAACATTGACTCAGAACAGCCATGGGTTAAGAAAGCATGAGAGTAAAGAAAAATGTTTATCATAGGTAAGTTCCTTCCGTTGCCATTAAAAGTCTAAAAATTCCAGGCTGCTGTTCTTTTGAAGTATGAGTAAAAAATAATCTTAAGCAGCTGAATAAATTTGCCGTGAGTCAGGTGGGAACCTAAGTCTGTGGCAAACATAGGTGTTGGCTCATTGTGGCCAAGCCAAACCACATTTATTTAACAATTGCTTTTGTAAGAGTTACCTTACATCCTTCGACAGCTTTCCTGGTTCTTAAAGCATAAGAACGAAGATTTTCTTTCCTTTTTTTATTGTAAGAATGCTTTCCCAAGACTTTTGATTAGAATATTAATACCTTCTTAAGCTTTTAGGCAAGCCAAAACCAATCTAATTAAATTGTTCATTACAAGCTCTTTTTAAAACTAGTTTGCAATCTAAAGAAAAAAAAATTCCCCATAGTGTCCTATGATAATAAAGAGAGAACTAAAAGACCAAGTAATTATATTTTGGAATAATCTTCTATCAAAGTATCTCTCTCAAGCATCACAAAGAGTAGGCCAATGTTTGTAAGCCATTTGCTTACAGTGCTGGACAGCTCAGTAAACCATCCTGTTCAATAAACCATTGTCTTTATTGTTCCTATTTTGTAATTCAGACGTAGAAAACAACTGTTTCTGCTCTTATATCGCTTCCCCTGCCCCCAGCCACCAAGTAAGGCCACAGGAAATAACTGTTAGGTATTCACTTGTGAATTCATTGACTCATAGAAATTGACACTAATATTTTTAGGGTTTTTACTCGTTTCTTTTTCAGATCTGCTTGTTCTTATTTCTTAGCCCACTGTTCCTATTTTATGAAGTCTACTTCTTCTTTTATTTTCCTTAACATTTTCAGTATCTGTCTGTTAAGAGCCCCTACCCAATTGCTTTACTATTTATAGTTCCTCCGGTATAAATTCTATTTATTGCACCTATGGACACTGTTTCTTGATAATGGACTTCCGCTTAGGTTTTGTAATCTTTGACTGTGTTCATTTTTGGTGGGAATTAACTTGCTTGGGAAGACTGAGTGTTGGGATGATGGTGGCCTATGAAACTTCAGCTTGGGGGTACAGCACTCCCTTGATCTGGAAGAGTTTATAATGCTCATTTCTGAGCTTAGTTTTCAACCTTATATATATATATATTTGCAGATACTATACATTTGTAGTATTTAGTAGCTTAGTATCTATACCACTCTCAAATTCTGTCTGGTCTTCAGAAGTTTTCTAGTCTTTCATCATGAATAGGCAGTGATTTTTCAGTTCCTGGCTTTAATCGGGAAACACAGCTTAAATTGCTTTCAGTACATGTGCCTGGTGGTCCTGACTGTCACACTGCCAAAGTCACTGGAACTTTATGTCAGCTGTGTATCTAGTGTTAGTCCTGATCTGGCCCAATGTGGTCTTAACTTTTATTCAGAGCTGTGATCTGGTATTTTGTATTTAAGGCAGGAAGGGCAGTTTCCATGCCTGCTTCATCCATTTCATCTCTACTGAGGTTGCCCTACATGCTATTTGAAGGTGATAATTTCCAAATAAGTTGCCTAAACCTAATAGCTTTGGATTATAGTCATGGCTTTTGATGAAGTATTTGAGCCTTTACAGGTTATATTTACCTCCATGTGGGAATCCTGGCAGCCACGAAGAGGGAAGCATGGCAGACCACCTGGCACCATGGGGCAAGAGACAAGTATTGCTTTTAAGTCAGATGCATAGGAGAATGCCATGCTCTTGGTTGGTAATCCTAGCCTAACTTCATGTTAAATGATTTATTTGGAGATGATTTTGTCCACCCCTGCAATTTCTGAGTGAATAGTTCTCAATGCAAAATATTTTATTAAAATTACTAATATCATTCTAATTAAGTACTTAAGATCCAATCTCCTCAAACTTAATAAATGACTCTCTGATATGTGTACATGGTAAATAGTGACTTCTGGTCCTCTTCTCAAGTCATTATCATCCACTGTCGTCTGACCTCACAAGAAATAAAAACAAGGCAAGCTGTTTTATTAATTCTGCATGTACCAATTGTGACTAACTGTAGAGACAGTGGTTAAATGTTCCATCATTTCCAACCAGCCCTCCCCTTTGTTTCATCCAAAATAACTAAGAACCCAAAGAACCCAGTTTTATGAAAGGAAATTCAGAAACTTTATAATTTATAATAAAATTTATATTCAGGATATGAATTAAAATGAGAGTAAAATGTTAATCCCACATTTTAGCTTCTTGGGAATTATTCAAGACTACCGTCTGATAATGAAACTCTAAACTACAATTAAACTTCTCTAAATTCTAAAAGTTCCTACTTACTATAAATTAAACAACTCAGTTGTGATGAATGTCTCAATCCCTCCCACCCACATCACTATCCCAAATTCTTAGCTGTTTTTGTTGTTTTTATTTTATTCCAAAAAGTAAAGAGAAACAGGTACCAATGAAAGATACACGATCAAGTCTAATTCACATGCTTTAAACATCTTTCTTTGACATGTTGGTGTTAGTAGAAAATACTCTCATGTTAAATATGAAAGGCCATGAATGGCTTTCCAGGGTGTCTGGAGAGAGGAGACTCCAGAGACTAGGAGAAAAGGAAAATAAAACCTAACTTGGAAGAAGGCCTGTAAGTAAATGAACCCCTGTCCTCTTACACTTCTAAATTCTTCAAACTTGTAGACTCAGAATTTTCTCACAAGAATTATCGCCACATTTCAATGGATTAGTATCTCAGCCATCATGGGGAGGAAACATCATTTTTAATAATATGGCTCTTGGAGACTACTCACAAGCTTTTCTTTTCAACAGAGAAAAGGGCAGCACCAATGTGGGCTTAGTCAATAACAGTTGCTTCATCCAACTTCTGAACAAAACCACAGATTTTGTATATGAAGCCACCTCACTTTTATTTCTCTGAAACTTTAATTCAGCAGCAGCAACTGTTTATCTCATTTCAAATTCCATTTTAAGGGGCGTGAGGAAAGTTATTGGGCAGGAAAAGAGGTACTAATTAATTTGCACCCTTAAGAAATTATGATAATATTAGAGAATTTATATGTATTATGAGTTTTATGTTAGGGTTATTGGCCACATGGTAATTCATTTTAGATTAAAGCTTTTAACATGATACAAGACACATAAGCATAAATTTTAAATGAAGCTAGAATATCGATATACTGTACGTTTCTCCAAATTGCTCGATGTTCTGATTGCAGAAGAAATATTCTTTAATGATAGTCTGCAAGTTGGTGGAAAATGTGGGAGCAGACTGAGGTTCTAATTTTAGCTTTCCCACTCACTAGCTGGGTGACCCTGAAGCTGTCATTTAGCTTCCCTAGACCCCTGTATCCTCAGGGAGTTGGTTATACTCTTAAAAAAAATTTCTGAAGCATGAACTTTTATAATCCTTCCTTTGAACAGGTATGCATCTTTTGAAGAGAAGGGCAAAATTGCTTGACAAGTAGAATAACAACAATTTTAAGAATTATAACAAGGCAGTTGATTAATGCTGTCATATATTGTTAAATCAGCTATCTATATAGATATTTTTAATCCCACACTGATTTAATAATATTCTATATTAAACACCAGAACTTTTTGTATTAAAACAACAAGGTGAAAAAAATTTACTGTTTACTCAAGATGAATAAAGAAACTCAACATAAGATGATCATAGTCACAGGTTTTTTTTTTTTCTTTCTTTTAAAAAATTAACTATTACTCAAAGAAATATTTTCCAGGCATATTTGGATAGCTGGTTGTGGTCCTAGACTAATGAGGTCAATATTAAGAGTTTGGGCCCTATCTGGGCTAGTTTGTTTCATTCCATTTATGGCCAAAAGCTGTAAGCCTTTCAGACATGCCTTGTGTTATTTATTGACACTACCAGGTCAAACAATACAGTTTGGAACATGGCTGAAAATCAAAACTAAAAGCTTGCCATGAAGTTAGAGAGTTAAGATTACATGGTCCTGTGAAGAGAGGAGCACAATGTGACACTGTTAAAATACCATAGAAAATCAACCTATTCTGAAATTCTTTGTAAGAAAATACAACTTTTTAAAGTTTAGCAATTAGTTAATGTGGTCTAATTGCCCAGATAAAAACACAGAGGTGAGGGCAGAGTATTATAAGAGAACTTCAAGAGAAGGTTTCAACATTCTGGAGAGTTAAAGGGCCTCTGTTCTAAGAAAACTAAAGCTATAAGGGTCATGTTTATTTGATTTTATCACATAGTTTCCTTCTCTTCAAACACAGTTTTATATGCATTATAGTTCTTTACTTTTTATTTATTTATTTATTTTTTAACATAAAAATGCTGTAAAAATTGAGGAATAGCAGAACAGCCTGGAAGAGAAAGCACTGGACTGCTGTCCTGGCAAAGAGTCTGCTCTGCCATAACCGGCAACACAATCTAATATTTCACTTTGTTTTCCTTTAAATATTACAAGATATTTAGAATGGGAATACCAACACCTGTTCTCAGCTCTATTTCATGGACTGCTAAAAATAAAAAGTAAGTTCTTTGGAAGACATAAAAGCATTTTTAAAATGTAATTGTTCTATAATACAAGGGTAAGTAGAACGAATTAAATAAAGCTCAGACTTTCAAAATATTACTAATTTTTTTTATTCGGAAGTTCAGCAGAAATATTTTTCATTATTATAATAATGCTTTTATTTGAAGAATTATAATAAGGCACTTGATTAACCCTGAAAGAAAAGTAAAATAGTAGATATTGGATTGCTTCTACATTTAATACTTGTGACAGCAAATGTTTGGGTATAAACTGACCCCTTAGGGCAAATCTGACCAACGTATATATATTTTCTTTAGTCCTCAGAGTATTACAGCTTTTGGGACTTGAATTTTCTGTAGTTCACTAATACCCCTCTATTTTATGGTTCTGTAGTTCAGTGCTGTCCAAAAGAAATAGAAAGTGAGACACATATATAATTGTAATTTTTCTATTAAAAACATTTAAAATGTAAAAAGAAACAGGTAAAATTAATTTTGATAAAATATGTAGTCCAATATATCCAAACTATTGTCATTTCAACATGTAATCCACATAAAATTATTAAGATATTTCACAGTTTTTGTACTATGTCTTCAAAACCCAGGGTATAATGTATGCTTCCAGGACACCTCAGTTACACTAGCCACGTTTCAAGTGCTCATCACTCTGGGGCTGGCTGCTGTATTGGAAGCACAGTGTAGGTGCTTTTACTCACAGAAGTCCCCTAGTTGGCCCCTCTAGCAATGGTTCTGAAAGTGTGGTCCCTGAAACAACAACATCAGCATCACCCAGGAATTTGTTAGAGATGCAAATCTCTGGCCCCACCACAGACCTACTGAATCAGAAACTCTGTGGGTGGGGTTCAGCAAGCTGTGTTTAATGAGCCCTCCAGGTAATTCTGATACACACTAATATTTGAAAAGCACTGCCCTGTAGGCAACTTCATTTGCAACGCTGGCTTAAATGCTGATAATCCTGATTAACAGGCAAAACCAAATCCAACAAACAACAAAAGTACTCTCAGCTAAAATGTTTTCGTTTAACGTTTATGAAGCATCAAAAACTGAATATGAGAAACTTACTCATTAAACTGCATATTTCTATTACACATTCAGGACTGGCATAAAGTGTGTCCAGCAGGATGTCATCTAGTAAAATTCCCTTTGCACCTGCTCACAGATATCTGAAATTCCTATAATTCAGGTAGGGTGGAATACCCACCTTCATACCTTCTCAGGCAGAACCAAGATCTACCTGAGATGAAACACAATGGCTCAGGTGAGAACCAGAGTTAAGACAGTGGGAAGAGCATAGTGATGGGAGCCAAGAGTTCTCAATCAAGCACATGATTTACCTCCTATGACCTGTGGAGCCTTTGGCCTGTCGCTTGACCTGTGATTCACTTTCTTCATCTGGAAAATGATGATGACAATAATAATGTTCAGGATGAGCATGATGAAGTAGCAAGCATGTGTCCAGTTTGGTGCAAAACGCTGCTGGAAACACCGAATGAGATCATGGGTCTGGAGGTGCTCTGAGACCCTAGAACTTTGGGACTTTTGTTGGTGTTACTAGGTTCACACTGTGGTGTAAATGACTAATTTAATTTTTTTTTCCCTGTGAGTAAATTTGGATAAGAGAAATTGGGAAACTGCACGTGGTGCTAGAAGTGGAAGAAACTAAAGTAGGAGCAAGGGGTGGAAAGACTCAGAGAGGGGAGGCTGAAAGGCACTGCTGAGAGGCTGCTTGGACCAGACTGTTTTGCCAGCTCTGAGAATTCCTTTTGAGTATTACATAATTTTTAAACATAAATTACAGTGATATTACATCACTGTAATAAAAATACTTAGACCGTTCTATCTACTATTATCTACCACTCCATTTCTTTTCTATGTTAGGCTACTTGCGTTTTCTAACTAAATAGCCTGTGATAAGAGACACCGATGCCAGGCCAATAAAAGGTAAACAACACTTTGCCTACTGAAAAATAAGATGAGCTACTGGTGACTGCTGCTTCCTGTGAAAACTTCATTAGCAATAAATGAGTTACCAGATGTCACACATCAGATTTGAAATTAAAATATATTCCCAGTAGTTGTGTGCTGTCTGAGCAGAAGCTAAAAATGAACTCTTTCCAAGAGAATTACATAAAATAATGCACCAGTTTTTGCCTTCTGATTGTTTGTTCCTCCTCTAAATGTAAAATAAAATGCACCTCCTGGGTTGTGAAGTGGAAATATAGCATTTCTGCATAGAAGGCTATGTAGGGAAGTGGCACATTACTCATATAGCAGTAACTCCTTAAGGACAGGAGAATTTTTTTAACATCCTGTGCCATACCAAGACCATCATCTCCTCTTGTTTTTAACTTTGCCATTGCAAATTCTCCTTTTCTTACCTTCACATTCAGCATGTGACTTCTGCTTTTATTACCAGCAACAAAACTGTTCGAGTCAGAAACTGTCAAACATGTTGACTCCACTCGTCCCGAATGCTGCTACAACCCTGTTAATGCTTTTCTTTCTTCAGGAGATACTAAAACTCTCCTCTGGTTCTTCCAGCTAGCTAAGCTGAGACTCTCCTTGTTCTCAAAGTTACAAGTCTCCCATCCAAAAGTAATTGTGGTTAGGGAAGGAACCCCACAGCAGGAAATAGAAGAATACAATTTCATTTGAACCAGCAGAAATTTCAGATAAGCCAGTGTGATAGAAATATCTAACACTCTCTAGTTTTTATAAACAAATAATTTTGGCTGAACTTCTTCAGCCCAGTTCCTCTGCAGTTCCAAAATTTTTGCGGTTACTAGTTCCAGCTGAAGATCATGGTCACTTGAAATCATTTGTTTATTTTTTTCTCCTCGGTTAATTTTGGTTCTTATCTCCTGCCAGATAGGTGAAGCTTATAAATCAAATTAAGAGGGTAAAAGTGAATTATCATTCTCAATCCACCTTTTGGAGAAATATTTACATGGAACTTCTCTATACGTAGAAATTCCCTGAAGCATCTAACAATTTATTTCTGGATCATTAACTACTCATCAGATGCTGGGGATGTGGAAGCTGCTGGCCTTTGCCTTTCACAAGGAAGATGGAACATTTTTGAGATTATTTCTATCAATGGGGAAAATGTCAATTCAATCTTTTCAGCTTCATAACTTTAGCACAAAATGACATACAAGTGTTTAAGTTTTTTAATGTACCATTATTTTATACTTCTTTTTGTTTCTGCTGATTAATAGAAAGGACTTATAATAGTGGCTTAATATTAGCAATAGTAACACTGATCACTTATTATTAATTGGATGCTTACTATATGCCAATTGTTGCATTAATTGCTTTCATTTCTACGAGAGATTTACGAGGGAAGGCATCATTATTCCCATTTCTCAGGTGAAGAAACAGGAATAGAGAGCAGGTCCTTACATTTTTGACATTCTGTAAGTAATGGTTTAAGGCTGTATTATTATTATTTTTATTTTTTGGTATGGTCATCTCTTCACACTCCAGTCTAGTGCATCTCAATCAGAGTGATTTTGTACTCCAGGGATATTTGGCAATGACTGGAGACATTTTTGATTTTCCCAGTGTGGGAGAGGGAGGTGTGGGGGTATTACTAGCATCTAGCAGGCAGACAAGTGATACTGCTAACCATTTTACAATGCATGAGACAGGCTCCCACACCAAAGAATTATCTAATCCAAAATGTCAATAGTGTTGCTACTGAAAAACCCTGCTCTGGTCCCTACTTTTTGTTTTAACCTTTGATAATTTGTATCTCTCACCTTTTATGGAATACATTAACTGTATACTGAATTTTATTGGAGGCTTTTATTTCATGCATTGTATTTTCCCAGGAAAACTACAGATCCCTCACAAAAGATAACATCCTATTGGGTAACCAAAGTCTAAAGCTGTGTTGGGTGCTTAGTGAGAGCTCTCAAACAGGGAGTTTACTAAATATCTGCTGTGTTAGATCATTCTAGAAATTACCCTCTGTAAGCATTTTTCATAACTTCAGGATTCTGCACAGATAGAGCCAAAGAGGGAATTTGAGCTCAGATTCATCATTAGAGTTTCAGGAGATTGATGGATATTGTGGTGGCCCCAAAGTCCGCACTGAAGGGAGGAAGCCACCTAGTCCGGAAGTCAAACCCTGCCCTCTTGTGGTATCACTGCCATAGACACTTCAGGGAATCTGGCGGAGGGTCAAAGGGCATTGATCTGTATCCTTCCGGTGTGAACTGACTGCAATATTTAAGTGTAAATTCAGCTGTACATTCACATTAGGCCTGTTCTTCTTTGTGGAACAGTACATTAAATATAACATGTAATCAAGGCTTTCATTAGAAACCAAGTAGAGAGCAGCGAGAAAGAGAGAGGACAAACATACCATACCTAGTTACAAACGTTACTTTCTGGAAGTTTGACAATCAGAGAGTTTCACTTACTTAGCTTGATTCTCTGTTACTTGCCTTCTCTACAAAACTGCTTTTCTGACTAATAAAGGCATGGAGTAGTTTTTGTAAGCAAGGAGAAACCATTCAGCGAAACAGCTTTGTAAGGAGCAACATTAATAGACATCTATGCCCAAAATTTGATGCCTGTGGTATTTTCCCTACAAATGTCTTATAGGCTAGTTCAAGGAGAAAAGTACCATAAAGTTTGGAAGACCAGCTAAATCAGTGGAAATTATACTCTCCCCATTTCCCATTAAGAACTCTATTCTCTTACTATGAAAACACCACTGTTCTTTCTTATCTCAGAGTGCAGGCTTTTCTGTATACTGATGCCAAATGGGTAACATTTTAGTGAGACATTTGAAGTTGTGATATGCAACTCGGTGGGGGACAAACAAGGTCATTTAAAAGGTCTCTTCACTGAGAACATCAGAGTTTTCAAAAGATGCACACAGCCTTTCCTGGATAATTGGGGGTAAATGAAGAAAAAGCCCATAAACTACAAAAATTAAAAACACATTCAGACGGAAACACTCAGAATTAAGAGTGAAAAAATATTATGAATGCTGATGCTAAATCTTAATACATAAAACCAAAGGCAATGAGTAAAAGAGCA